AATGCCCGAATCTGGATGTGTTTTATGCAGAGATGCAGAAAAGCAGTTCAATCTCGATTCCCTGCACCTCTCGACAAACACGTCCAGATGCAGGCATTGGATCCGAACCTCTTTGCTAGTGGGACCACGCCCTATGTGTTTCTTTTTCACATTTCGAGAGTGGTGTGGCGAGGTCCTCAGTCGAGCAATGACCGATTTCCTCTGACAACCACACAGGCACTCTCCAAAAATTCTACAGCGCCCCCCCCCCCCCCCCAAAAAAAAAGGGTTGAATTTCAAAAATATTGCTGTTTCTAAGTTTGGCAGCAAAAATGTCGTCCGCTCGAAGTTTCCTTTTGCAGAAATAGAGGTTTCGTTGCAGATTTATAGGGATCCCGTAGTTTGCCAGCAAAAATACCGCGTTTTGCCCAGTCTCACAGGGAAGGACCCCTAGGCCTCTGGCCTCAGGGACTCAAGGACTCAGCGTTCCGGCCTCAGGCACTCAGCCTTTTTTTTTTTTTTTTTTTTTTCCCGCGGGCCTCGGGGTCCTTTGCTGTGAAACTGGGCAAAACGCGGTATTTTTGCTGGCAAACTACGGGATCCCTATAAATCTGCAACGAAACCTCTATTTCTGCAAAAGGAAACTTCGAGCGGACGACATTTTCGCTGCCAAACTTAGAAACAGCAATATTTTTGCTATTAACCCAAAAAAGAAAAAAGGGAGGCAGGGAGAGAGAGAGAGAGAGAGAGAGAGAGAGAGAGAGAGAGAGAGAGTTCTTTCTCAGTGTGTGCTTGTCCCACGATCTGGGACATCCATCAGTGTGCAGTCACTGCATGCACAAGCTGAGTTGTTGAGGTGAGTTGGGACTTGCTCCAGTGCTCCCCTGTCCTGTGAGCGCACGATATGAAGTCTACTTGCCGTACGTCCGTAAACTCATACGTAGTCCGATGTGGTTTGGAGCTGAGTTAGGGCATACTCACACCTGCGCATTCCTAAATGCATCCGACTGGCATTGTGACCAGACCTGCATGCATCTGACCGTAATCACGTCCGGATCTCACTCGAAAAAGTCCTAATGATAGATAGAATCCACTGGAACAATACATTGATATCGGCTCAGAAAGCACACTGCAGGCATGTTCTTAGAAAGCTGGGTTCCGCTGGGTTCCTTGTTTCAGCCGTTGATCGTCGTCATCTACTGTCAGAAGTGAAGACTTCTGGCCAACGGAACCTCGCGAGATTTGGGCTTCACACACACACACACACACACACACACACACACAAACACACACAGAGAGAGAGAGAGAGAGAGAGAGAGAGAGAGAGAGAGAGAGAGAGCCCATAATTGCAGTTATTCACCAGGATGAGCACAGGACACGAAAGGCGGGCAGGCAGGCAGATCGCACTCTCGCCCCACCACTCTGTAACTGCGAACGAGACGAAATTATGACGGTTGTATCTGTCCGTGTTGTACGGGAAAAGTCTTTCTCCTTTTGCACTGTTGGAGACTGCCGCGGCTGGCCCGCCAAAGGGGAGACTTAGCAGAAAGGTTTGGGCCCCTTGCTTTTGTTTTTTTCCTTTTTTTTTTTTGTGTGTGTGTTGTTGTAAATATGCCCCCCCCCCAAAAAAAAAAAAATAAAAAAAAATGGGGCCAACATCGACAGACACGAATATTGGACAGTTGCCACATGGCTACGCGAGACATGTTTCGAAAATTCGAAGGTTTTTAGATTCTCTACCTCTTTCTTGGGAAAACTCTTTCCTTGAGGGTGATGGCGCTCAATTTTCTCGATCGAACGGAGGGGCTGCAAGATGACTACCGGTAGGAGGTGCGCAATACCATTCCTGTCTGTGGCTTCTCGTTCTCCCTCTGTCAATCTCTCACTGCTCTGCCGTATGGTCACCTTCTACTTTCGATAGTGACGTAGGTATCGTCATCTGGCGTGTGTGACCTCTCTCCCTTCAAGAGAGGCGGATGCCTTTCCTCACTTTTTCGGTGATGGCGTCGTTCCTTGAGTGTTCGGATGCGAAGAGCTATGCACGGAGGAGGGTGTGTAATGCACTTTTCCTCTGTCCGTTTTCCCGGATTTATTACCTTTGTCTCTCTCTTTCTGTCTTTCATCATCTCCCAGTTCGCGTAGTTGCGTTTTCGGTTTTCCTTCTGGCGATGGTTTCCGTGGCCTGCGCTGCCGAGGACGGGCCGGCGGTCGATGTCGAGTACCCATCCGCTCCAATTATGACTGCTATAGCGGATAGTGAGCAATATTCTCGCCTGCTTCAGGTGAACCGTAGCTTTACGCGGCTAGATGCTGATCTTATCGTTGCTGCCAGAGTCGTGATGACGATAAGCCCCGTGGAGCCCTTTCTGCCCTACAGCGGGAACTCAACAGCAAGGTCGTGTTTCATGCAGCTTTCTGGCATAGTATTTATTCCAAACTCCACTGTATTTACTTCGTTCTGGAGGAGTACTGTAAACGCGACGAGCCACTTCAAACGATTCTCAGTCGCATCTCGTTCAGGAAAGCAGATCTAGAGCAGGTGAATCGAGGGATGAAAGCCCTCGTCGAGGACAAAGTGATTACCTATTGGTGGCCGATGTCCGAACTCGTAGGATCGGCAGCGGCCTCGCCCTCTGTCCTTAACCTTCTTTTACTTAACCAAAATAGTTCGATGGCTTAACCCTTGGGCATTGAGTTGACGGAAAACGGGGAGTATCTTGTCGCGGCGGTGACCTCTAGAGGGAAAACCGCACGGCCGATGCTCGCATCCATTTCGACCAGCAATGGAAGCCACGTGTCCGTCCCCTCCCCAGCAGATTCTTCCGGGGGCGTTGTTTTCGATCTGAATAGAACGCACCTTTACTGCGCAGATCCGTATCCGCCCTGTCGGGTCCTCTCCACGGCCGTCGGAGAGTCGGGGCTTTCCATGATTACCTCAGAATCGATAACAGTCAGGAAATTCTCGAACGTCGGAGCGTTGAATATCACGAATGTGGTCACTGGCAGGCAGACCCTCGTTGCAGACGGGACCTGTTTGTACTTCATCGACAGGAATAACTTTCGTGTGTGGGGAATCGATCCCTAGTCGTCCACCACGTCGCCCTCCGCTGCCACTCTTATTGCAGGATCTGGGCACCAAGGGGATACAGACGGTGATGGACCTACTTCGTCATTCGAGTATTTGGGTGAGATTGTGGCGACTCCGGACGGCTGCAACATCTTTGCCACGGATACTGTTCATCACCGCTTACGCTGGCTGAAGCTAGGCTCCCCGTGCAGCACCGCTCGGAGTGTGGAGACTGTGGGCAGAATCCCTGAGGTAAGTTTGCGAGGACTAGCGCTTCATCAGTACGGCGGCGAGCTGCTCTTGTACGTCGGAGCTACTGATGGCTCCCTGTTCGAGCTCAAACTCAACAGCTCTGCACTGCATACTTGTGCGTCCGCCACGCCATCGCCGTCCAGCATTCGCGCAGATAGTTCTCCTCCTACCTCAGATTCATTCCCGCCTCCCTCCCTCGTTGCGGGTCCGTCCTCGCCGTCCATTTCTGCCTATCCTCCGTCTAATGCGGGCAGTCCTGCGGCCCAAGTGTCCAACGAGAGCTCTTCTTCCTCCTCGCACTCTCGCAATCTTGGGCTCATGGTCTCGTTGCCGGTGTCATCGCTTGCGCTCATTTGCGCTATCGCCTGCGTGGCTTTCTTCGCCTGCAAGGCCCGCCAGCAGCAACGGTGGCAGTCCGCTCCGAATAGCGAAGGATTCAGGATGACGAAGACAATAACTTCTCCTCCGTCAACGACGAAAGCTATCGACCAAAAGGAGGGAGAGGAGCCTCGACCAATGGAGGTTAAGCGATTCTCGCTTGCAGTGCTTTCTCACTGCACTAGTGATTTCAGCCAAAGCTATCGTATTGGGGACAGCGGGGCCTTTGGGGAGGTTTACTGGGGATCGATCGGCGAAAATCAGCAGCTGGCAATCAAGCTGATGTCGGGCAACCTTACTCCCGCCAAGCGCAGTATGTTCCTTGCGGAGGTGAACACGTTGAGCAGACTCCATCACGCC